GGGGTGGGGGTGGGGGTTCTATCATTTGCTGTTTGTTATTTTTCTTTTCTTTGTTGCGCTAATGTTCTTTCATGTTGAGAGGGTGAGTGTTGTGAAGTGCGACTCACGACATTGGAGGGCCACGTTTTGTTTGTCTGTTGCCGAAGCACACGTTGCACGTGAATCTAGCACCGTGTACACTTTGCACGTGAATCTAGCACTGTGTACACTCATTAGACACACGCAGACAAAAACAGAGGGGTTTGAGGGTTGGGGGTGGGGGGTAGACGGACGATCACGTATCGTGTGTACTGTTTAGCTGTGGAAATACATTATGGACTTGTGCATGTGGATGTTAATGTTTTTGTAAATTTTTAGTTTGCTGCCAATACGCTGCATCTTGCTTTATATTCTGGTTGTGCCAAGGTCATACTTTTTAAGTACGTCAAACTTATATTATAATAGTGTCTTTGTGTGTTTTTCCTTGGTTATCTTGTCTCTTTTGTGTGGGTGGTCACCGAGGTGTGTGACCTTTCAGCTAGACAACAGCAAATAATAAGATTGAAGAATAATATATCATGTTGCTTCTGTGGACCTGAGCATTGGTGTCGTGTGGATTTTTTGAGTGTATACTAGACTCTAGATCTATTATAATTTTTTTAAATCGTGATTTGTATCTCTGCTGTGTTCAGTGTTAGTATGTGGCCTTGTTGAACCAGTTAATGAAAGGTGAAGGGAACGTATTCGTTTATAAATTCATAGTGTTCTTTAAAATCTATAATTCTGGTGTTTTGGTCGATGCTATAGATCTAGATCTATATTCTGTATGAAGCCGGCTGTTGGTTTCTTTTTGTTTCACTGTTTTTAAAAAAAGTTTTTAAAATATTTTTTTAATGTGTGGTCGATGCTAGTTTTTCATTTTGACATTGGTTGTTTTTTTATTTGATGTGCAGGTCGATGAGGATTTTTTTACAGTGTCTTTTTTTCTTTTTTTCAATACTTGATTTGTAGGTCGATACTGCAGTTTTTTCATGTTGACGTTTTTTCAATATTTGTCGTGTTGGTCGATGCTGAAGTTGTTTTTCTCATTGCCTTCTCATTGTGACGTGTGTGGGTTCTTTCTCTCCCCCCCCCCCCCAGTATTTGTTGTGTACGTCCGTGCTGTATTGTTTGAATTATTATTATTTTTAAGTATTCAATGCCTACGTCAGTGCTGTAGTTGGTTTTTTCAACGTGACACTTTCTTTTCTTCTGTCTTTGTTGTGTAGCTCAATGTTGTGGTTGGGTTTTTTTCCATGTTTTTTTTCTCGTATTTGTCGTGTAGCTCGATGCTGTAGATCTAATCTAGTTGTTTTTTTCATCATTATGATGCTGTTTTTTCATCGAATTTATGATGTCGTTTTTCCCCTGCATCTGTGGTGTAGGTCGATGCTGTACAAAAGATTTTTCATCATTATGATGTTGTTTTTCATCAAATTTATGTTTTTCCCCTGTATCTGTGGTGTAGATTGATGCTGTACATTAGTTGTTTTTTATGATGCTGTTTTTTTCATAAAATTCATTCCCCCCCCCTGTATCTGGTGTAGGTCGATGCTGTACTGCCCGCGGGCCCCGCCTTCCTACCCGGCGCACGTGTCGTACGCTCCAGTGTCGGCCCAGGACAGTGAGATACAGAGTCTGTCCAGTGACGCGCTCACGGACGACACCATATCGGTGACGGACAGCAGCCTGTGAGTACTCACCTCTTACACAGTGCATGTATGTCATGTACACACTCATACATACATGTACACACATACACATGCTCACACACGCGCTCATGGACTATACCATCGGTGACGAACAGTAGCCTGTGAGTACTCACCCCCCTCACCGCTTACACAATGCATACGCACAGGCGTACATACAAACACCATCTGTTTTATTCAGAGGGGCTAATTTTTGTCTGATATAGATTGTATTTTGGAAATTTGTATTCTTTCTCTCTCTCTGTCTCTCTCTGTCCTTCTGTCTGTCTGTCTGTCTTGTCTGTCTCTCAGAAGTAGATGATATGGTCTTGAAAGTTCAATTTTTTTTTTACGAGTCAATTATCACCTCTGTTTATTGTATGGTTGTTTTTGGATTGTTTTTTTCCTTTTTTTTGTTTCATCTTAAGTGTCTCC